TTTGGATGTGTATTAGTGTCTTTTTATGTGGAATTTGACTTACAAATACAAGTAGTCAAACAAAATTTTCTATGATTGTTAACTATATACTGTTTACTGCATGAAGTCAGTGCTCTATAAGTGCAGTATTTGAAAATGCTATTTACTTATTGCAAAGACACATATATGGTGAAGCTTTAAGTGTCTTTAGAGAGTCTGGTATTAAAGACTGTCTCTTTTACATTTAGAAAAACAAAATAGTTATTAGACAAAGAACATTCGAGTCATCTACTTTTTGGTTTTGAAATATCCTTTATAAGTGAAATTATGTAAATTGTTCAAAAAAATACAGATCAAGATCAAAAAAGCCAAAATTAAAAATAATAAAGTCACTTCAACCATTAAATTGTACAAACTACTGCAAATAAGCTCAAATATCTGACAGAGTGCGAGGGTGCGATTCTGCACTATTTGTGTAGAATCGCACTAAATCGCACAGTTTTCGATTTTCCATATAATGTACCAAATACAAAATAAAATCCGGTGAATCTGTCTTGTARACTTAAATTAACTTACAATTTTGCCATTTCTTTACAAAAGACAATGTTATTTAGCCAAATTCTTGCAGATAATGTAGCCTTCTAACAACAAAATCCCGGCACAGGCGTTCAAGCAATCAAATGATTTTGACAGTCTTTTGCAAGATGCACTATGCAGTCTTACTTGAAAAGCAGGACATTTCAGAATCTTTTCCACYTCGATTTGTTTTGCTCTGGTATCGATCCAACATCAGTGAACTATAAGTTTAATACATGAACTATAGATTTTGTATAATCCGACACTGAAAGTCAATCAGGTTTGGGTTCCCTGTGGTCGAGGAAAACTTCGAACGAGTTATTCAAAATGGGGGTCGTGTCGGTGGGGTCTTGCTACATCACGGGCGTTGATGGAGGCCAAAAAGTCTTCAATTCCAAAGGTCAGCGGAGTACATAGTGACACCGGAAGTTCAATAGACAAACTGGCGTGAGTGATTCAGGTAGAGAATCTTGATAAGCGTGATGCAAAAAGTTTCAGAACATAATTTAATGACTCGATAAGTTGCCAGTAACCAGTAAAGATGTGATGTGCATGAATACTGGCATCTCAGTCTAGAGTATATTAGTATTTTTTATTCAATTTATGTCTTCTCCTTGGCTTGATTAATATTCGATCAAGTGTACAAAAATGGAAAATGTTAGACATGTAATAAACTGACTAAGAGCAGATAAAATAAGATAAGAAAAGAGAACATTAAGACAGAACTGCANTTTCTATTGTGTTATTGTCATTCATGTTTCTAAGCAACCGATTCTAAGCTTGCCTCGTGCTCCATTTCGGACCTAGTTTTAAGGATCGTTTATATTAGAGATAGAAATCACGGATCTAGCTACTACAAATACGCTCAAATCTCTTACAATTCCACGTGTCATTCGCGGTATAGAAACACTAAATGATGTCGAGCGTTTTTCGAAAGGGCATTTGTAGGGAATTTATCGTGAATCTTCCTATCGTGAATAAACGAATTATATACTAACTTATACAGGATCTGCAATCGCAAAAGACTATCTAAGGAATGCAAACAGTGTTATACTGAGGAAAATGAAATGGATTGGAAGTGTTTTAAACGTAGAACATGAAAGACTATCGACCTGTGTTTACGAGGAGTGGTTCGTCAAACATACTTTACTTCTTTCACAATATTATGCTTAATGCTATAAAGTACATTGCTTGTTTTATTATTTTTCATTAAAAGAAATATTTTTGCTTTAGTCTTAGTAATATTAACTTTATTAGGGCTCAATATAATACAATTCTTCGATTACCACAATAAAACTATTGTCACTGCTTCGTTTGCTGATTGTGATACCACAGGAAGCCCATGTAAGCGATCGCTGATCGTCTAGTTTTATTGTTAATTATTGAGAAAGGGTGTCCAAAAAAGGAATTGGAACGCCGTTATTATGCTCAAATACAGGCTTGGCTTGAGTAAGGAATGAAAGTAAAACACAAATGAGTAGAATATCTTACATCTTCTCCACCGTTAAAAATAAGCCTGATGATGATGGTAATGACAATGATAACAATAATATATATGACAAACATATAATGCTCGCAGGAATTTAAATGGATACGCTGAAGTTTGCGGTGTAGTATTTTTGACAAGTCAATTAAATCATCTTAGTCATAATCGATCAAAATCGATTAGTGGCAMTACCGCCAATTATAGCACTGAAGTCATTGACAGCCACGTGCACCTCAATAAATTTCAAATAACAAGACTCGAAAAAAAAACTATGTGCATAACATAAACCTAAAGCAATGCACTGTTTTACCTTTTTGAGAGAACCTTTTGCGGCCTTAGTATCAGTTCGAGTGATCCTCGTTGTGAATAACGCTTGTAGAGTTTACAAGACAGAATCTCTCAAACAAAAAAAAAAACAAAAATCATCGGGGTCACTTTTACTATTTGYCGATCTATATACCCAATTTTATACAGTTCTGTCGATATTGACGATGATTGACAATATGATAGTTTATAATCATAACAGAGTTACTGAAAATCTTTCATCCGCTGGAAAACCTCACTGACAAAATGAGTACAACAATTTTACGAAAATTGCAAAACTACTAATCTGACATGTCTTTTTTACATTTGATAATTGTTCAATGACGACGAGCATTGGAGGAATGCATCACGCCAGCCTGTCTATTGAACTTCCGGTGTCACTTTGTACTCCGGTGACCTTTGGAATCAAAGATTTTTTGGGCCTCCATCAACGCCCGTGATGTAGCAAGACCCGTGTCGGTGGTTGTTGATCGTTTTATGGTAGAAACGGATTTCCTTTTGCTGTTACAACATTTACGTACAAGAAAAAGATGAATGGTAAATGAAACTGCGAGCAGGAGAGTCGGTAAGAATACTAGAAAACTAATTAAACTCAGTAGTCTCAGTAGATAAGCACAAATCTAGCACAAATCCAGATTATGTCAAAGTTTTAAAAACTAATCATAATTATTATTTTGGTCTCCTTGATCTGCATACAATCTTCAATACCTGAATATTACAAAAAATAAACCAACAAATTGTGCATTGATAGTGAACACAGTACAATTTTATAAGCTTAACTTACATGCAAGAATTACAAAACAGCAAACTGATGAAAGACCAAATATTTTTTTTGTGTTTCAACTTGAAACACAAAAATGTCAACAAGTTTTGTCTTCAAACCATTCCTTTTTGMAGTTTAGTTACTTATCCACAATAATTCTTTTTTTCAAATTTATGCAATTTATTGATTGTGATTGGTTAAATGTATGAGACTACATAAAGAAAATTACAGCAATATGCAGAAATTGTGATCGTTTTCACTCATATTTCAAGTATATAAAATATATCGGAAATTATTGGATCTCATCACCATTTTTTTCAGAAAGTACTAGTGTAAGGCAACTTGAAAAATATATCAGCATAGAATTTCTGATTTATTTAATATATACTTGAAATATGAGTGAAAAATATCTAATTTCTGCATATTTCTGCATGAGTTATTATGTGGAAAGTATGTAACTTATAAATTTATGTACTGCACTTTGAGTGGGAGCTAGTTACCTTTGGGCAAAAAKAGTCAATCATTCTGCAAATGGCCTCTTTTCATAAAAAGTACACAAATAATTACAGAAAATGATACCAATTGGCCTTATCATGCAAATTAAGTTATTATTTCCTTCTATACTTAAAGCAGCCTAAGGCGACTGACGGCGTCTTAAGGCGTCTTAAAGCGTCTTAAGGCGTCTTAAGGCGTCTTAAGGCGACTTTCTGACCCGGAGTAGGCCTTATTAACAAATCGTCACTGTTCGACATCGTTTCCAGAATGACTGCTAAGAATATTTGATAACAATATTCAAATTTCGATCGCTCGCTTTCGCATGAACAGGTTTTCTTAAAGGAAACTAATTTCAACAGTCCATGAGAAAGTCTCAAGAGAAGAGGATTCTATTGTTCGAAACCCAACTAAGAATACATTCATTAAGTCTATTCAGTTTTTGCGAAAACCACGTGAATTTAAAAATTAAACGAGACTTACCTGTAAGGTGAAGTTTGATTATAATTCTACGAGTTATTGGTCAGGAACGAAGAAGTCACGTGAGATAGCGCGCGGCAAGCAAGCAATCAGTTTTTAAAGGTTAGCTGCTCTTGGTCATTTTAGTCACCTTAAGGGTAGGGAATGGGCTTCATGTGATAACAATAGGGTGGGCACGTGACTTCTTCGTTCCTGACCAATAACTCGTAGAATTATAATCAAACTTCACCTTACAGGTAAGTCTCGTTTAATTTTTAAATTCTACTTCGTCATTGGTCTACGTCACTACGAAGTCACGTGAGATCTTTAAAGCCAATGGCCAAGAGCAGTGCTTATTCAGTTATGCACACATCAATTGTAATGCTCTACTTTATTAACACTATGAAATATCATGTTTTAACGATGCAACCAAAGGTGTTAGTATTAACTTGAACTGGTCTGTCATAAAATTTTCTAAAAGTCTCTGCATTAGACCATCCTGCAGCAGTCATAATGTCTTCAATAGGAACGTTTGCAGCTTTTGCTGCTGATGTGGATGCAGAGCGTGTACTGTGAGCGCCATAGACCGTAGTATCAATTCCACCACAGTCTAAGGTCTTTTTCAACCAACGTCCAATAGTGTCAGTTGACACAGGTTTAAAGGGTTTGCAAAAACTTAACAACAATTGGGCATTATCTTTCCGTAATGGCTGAGTACGTTGAACATATTCTTTAATACAAGAGACTACACATAATGTCTTATCTTCAAAAGCATTCAAGTGAAGCTGTCCAAAGTGTTTGCCAGGTCTTGAGGTTTTAAGTAATTTCTGGATGTAGAATACACAGTGTTYATCAGTCAGAGCCATGGATTTTATGTCCAGGGCTTGTAAAGTTTGACATCTTTGTCCAGAGCACAGTGCAATCAGCATCGTTGTCTTGAGAGTTAAGTCTTGTAAGGTAAGATCGTTTAGTGGTTGGAGTGTTTGTAGATGTCTAAAGACAATAGACACATCCCATATCTTTGTATATCGTGGAAGCGAGGGACGAGTAGAGTAAACACCTCTGAGAAACTTGGTCACCAGTGGGTGGCTTCCAAAGGTATGCTCCCCTCCTGGAAATATAACTGTAGACAATGCAGAACGGGCCGTATTGATGGAACTGTATGCAAGGTTTTGTTCATAGAGTACACCCAAGAAATTCAGTCCATCTATGAGAGATGCTGAAAGTGGATGTATCTGTTGTTTATGACAGTACTGTTCCCATCGTTGTAAGTGTGATCGATACTGTTTCTGTGTTCCAGGTTTCCAGGATTGGATAATGACACTGGTAGCTGTATCTGAAAGTCCCTGGCTTGTGAGATGTCCCCTGATAAGTGGCAAAGCAGTAGCTTGAGTGCTTTGTTCAATGGGTGAATAAGTTCTGGATTCGATGGAAGTGTTAGTGTGTCCTTGTACCTAGGTAGGACAAGAGGAGCAGCAATTAGCATACGTACAAGGAATGGCCACCAAGCCTGAGTGGGCCAGTATGGTACAACAATAAGACCTGT